AACCTCCATCAGGACCTTCAGATTACAAGATTGGCGTGATGCCCAATGCATTAGGCTAAGGATCTATTGACAATTTTTAGCTGCTGGGAGAGGGAGAGTCATTTCTCTTTAAAGATGTGTTGCTAGGTATGTTGACCAGGCTCCAGGGGATAGACCCATACCCAAGAGCATTTGCGAACACAAATTAGACTCAATAGGCCTTTAAAAAATAATAGAGGACGTGAAGTGAGGGGGATAGGGAGGTAGGGATAGATGTGAGATGGGATGGGAGAGGGTATCTGAATATGATCGAAATACAGTGCATGAAATTTTCAAAGAATCAGTAAAATGTATTTTTTAACTACCATTAATAGATGTAATGCTGAAAAACAGTTTCCAAAGTTTTGAGTATGAGGCTGTCACTCAGTCCATTCTAACAGTGCTTACCTAGCATACATGAAGGTCTAGGTTTGATCCCGACTACAACAAAAATTTTATAAAAGAATGGAAAAAAGATTTTTAGTTGAATCGTTTTACTTGGCAAGACTATAAATGGTATTAAATTGGCTAATATTTCAAACAAGGCAGAGTGATATTTGTTTTAATTGATTAAACTAAATTCATAAGGCAAATAAGTACCAATATCCATTTTCTATACACTGTTACTTTAGACACATGTACCTGAAATAACATGTTTAGGGGTTTTTGTTTTGGTTTTTTCGTCTCTTGCTCCTCTTTGAACTTCTTCCACAATTTTCTGAGTTCCTGGGTACAGTTCTTACCTGATACTCATTAAATTACTGTAATCTTCACAACTCTTCCAGGATGTAGGTATTGTTACTATTACTAACTGATGGGCAAACTTATGTACAGAATGATTCTTACAGTTAGGAACAATGGAGATGGAAATCTAGTTTAAGCTTTCTGGTCTCAAATTCCAGACCCTGAGCCCTTGCTTGCCAGTCGTCTTAACTGCTATGCTGCCATGGTTTTCTTCCTCTCTGTGCTGTGTCTTGAAACCTTGCTTGTTTCATTTTCAAAACCATAACCTTTACTTTTCTATGTCTCACTCAATTTATAGGTGGTGAGCCACTGTCATAGCTAAGTACCATGCTAAATATTTTTCATGCTTAGAAGTAGTTGAAACTCAACCATTTTATGACTGTAAAAAAACTGAGACTTGGTACAGCTAAATAACCATTTCTTACAAGTAATAAGTGCTAGAGATCAAACTTGGGTCTTTCAAATGATTATGCCTGTCCTTTAAACCCTTATGCATTTTCTCACTACCTTGACACATTCTCAAACTTAGATTTCTTAGCCTAAGAGTCATCATCCCAATGATGGTTCAAATGGCTTCTCAGAGCTGTAGTTTCCTGTTATCTCTTACCTCACAGCAAAATACCTAGTTTGGGTTTTGGCTTATTTTTACCCATCTATCTAATCACTCTTTTCATTTGTTTGTTTCTTTGGTTTGGTTTTGGTGTTGGGGTTTTTTTATTTTTTATTTTTTTTTGTCTTTTTGAGACAGGGTCTCTCTGTAGCCCCAGTGGTCCTGGAACTCACTATGTAGACCAGGCTGGCCTTGTACTCACAGAGATCCGCCTGCCTCTGCCTCCCAAGTGCTGGGACTATAAGCGTGTCCCACCGTGCCCAGCATTATTTGTTTTTGTTTTTGATCAAGTAGAACACTTGAACATTTTTGATATGTAGTCTTCTTATCCATCAGAATCATGTTATTTACCTTAAAAATTTTATTAGGACTCTGGGCTCTCAAGAAAAATGCCACATTTCCATCTTCTAATATGTTCTTTTATGTCCTTTACCTGGCAGCTTTATGACTATTAGACAAACTGCCATTTTTGTGATTGTACTTTCTGTGTTTCACTGACTTACAAATAACACTAGTTATCAATAACTTGGATCAGAGCACCTTTATTATGTATCTTTTAAAATAATTTAACTAGAAGTGGTAGCATATGCCTGTCATCCCAGCACTCAGGAGACAAATGTAGGAAGATTGCTACAAATTTGAGATCAGCATGGCCTACGTGGCCAATTCTAGACCAGCTAGGGCTAAAAAATGAAACCCTGACTCAAACAAACAAACAAACTAATAATTTAACCTCATTATTAGATAAATGAGGTAGTGGTGAAGGTTGACAGAAGAATTAATTATCTACTCAGTAACAGTGGAAAGAAAAACAAATTAAATATCCGTGTGAGCTATAAAGATAACCTCAATTTGAATTCTCTAAGAAGGGAAAAACAAGTCAGAATGGCATTGAGCTCCACAGATCTAAGGTAAATCTGTGTGCAGGAAAAGTATGTATTTTAGAAACAGGTTTCATTTTTTTCTCTTCCATAATCAATGCAAGTTCTGTTTAACGCCATGTGTTCATACCATCTTTGGAGTCTTGCACCATTTGCTTTTTTCCATATTTTCTTCAAGAATGTGGTCTTTCTCCATTTCATAATTCTGAAACACTCTTCATTCCACCCTTTGGTTCTCCTACTGTCCTTAATTTCTTTCTTACATCTCTACCCAAAGCTGCTGGTTCCTGTCTATTACTCAAAACTCTTATTTTTCAAAAATGTTCTTGGATTTTTCATACATATCAGTCCCTTGATCAGGACCAGTGCTGCCTTTGTCAGAACTCAGCAGGTATCATAGGTATTCTAATGCCAGGACTATGCTTTAATATGATTTGACTGAAAAGCTTTAAGAATAAAATTATAGGGGACTCAAGAGATGGCTCAGCAGTTAAGAGTACTTGCTGTGCAGTCATGAGAACTGGTGTTCAGATCCCAGCATCCATGTGACAAACCGAGCATCCAACAAGTGCCCGTAATCTAGTTCCAAAGGACCCAATGCCCTCTTCAGACCTCTACCACACACAGACTCACATACCTACATCATTGCGAACACATACACATAGACAAGGGCACATAAATAAAATATGTCTTAAAATAAAAGTTTTTAAGGAATAAACATATAACCATTTCTCTCACAAAGCAATGTTAAAATATTTCATTATTTTTGAATCGGAATACAATGAGATTTGGATATTACCTATTAATCACCTACATATAAATCTCTCAGATTTTCATTTCTTATAGTGAGTCTTAAAAACAGGCTCAACTATTGCACTCTTAGTTCAGGTGAGAGTTCTGTTATTCCAAAGCTTACTTTTGGATAAGAATCATACTCTTAGCACCTTTAGTTTCTGGCCTGTGTTCCTA